GAACAAGCCTATGCAATGCGCAAAGAGAAAGTAGACCAAGCAATCAAACATATTTTATTAATATGATTTATTTACAACAGCAAAGAGCGTGAGTAATCGATGTCTCAGGGGTTTAAGGTATTGAGTGCAAGAACTCTCTCTCTGTTTTGTAATTTTCCCTTTCGGATTTCCCATCCCCCTTATTTAAAGGGCTTGCGTCTAGGTTTTCCTATTCCTCCTTTGTGTGGGAATTAGCATTCTTATCCTTTTCTTATTAGGAATATTCTCTTTTTTGGTTGAATGTTATCGCTGCGTGCGATTTCTGCGGCCAGTCCTTGATACGTATCTCGCAGACCGTCTTAGTTGCCTCTGGACTTTAATCATATTGGGCCTAGCCCAGATGACTAAATTTTTCCCAACATGACCTAATGCAAAGTCTTAAAACTCTAAAACAAAGACCAAAAATGAAGATTATATCTAAAATGCATGCATGAGACTCTATTCTTGGACCAAAAATGCATCTTAGTCATGAAAAGATATGAATATATCAACTCTCCCACACTTATCCTTTGCTTGCCCTCAAACAAACTAGAACAAATGAGAGAGAGGTTTGGATTTTGGGAGTTCACATTTCTTTAAAGAGAGAGATGATTATTAAAAGAATTCAAACTCATGGTTCTAGTTACTAGTTCTGAAATGCAATGCAAAGAATACTCTGAATGCAACAAGTTCAAGCCATGATCTACACAAGCATTCTTATCCTTCAGCCCTTTAGCATTCATTAAGTGTTATCATGTGGATCAAAATGGTTCATATTCAAACAAACAATTTTGGCCAAGGGTAAGGTTATGAGATAAAAATGATCTCATTGATGCACATGTGGGTTTAAAAGGCAAATGATGCAGACAAGAATAGACTCTCGTCTACCGAATTTCCCAAATTGAATTCACCCGAACTCTAAACCCATGAAGAGCACTCCCTAGCTACCCCTTATTTTTTCAAGGCTTTCATTGTCTTCTCAATCCATGTCTCATTTCAATCTCATTCTCTTTCTCACTAGGGGATCTTTTTATTTTAAAAACAATGGCTGGTGTTTCTCTTTTCACTTAGCTCTTTTCAATTCACATTTCATCCCTAGCCTCTTTTCTCATTGATTTTTGAAGCTTGAAGCCTTTTGGCTTATTTTCTTTTCTTTTCACACTTTGAGGCCCTTTTTTTAACACTTAGAGTTTTTTTCTTTTCAGACACCATCCAATTCACACCTTGCAATCCCCTAGCTCTCATCTCACTCTCTCTCTCTTTTCTACTCATTGATTCCCCAAGATCCCTTCCTAACCTACTCTAGTCTCATGATGCAGAGCTAGATCTACATGAAAGCCTACTCTTGTCGCTCTAAACCCAACACTTTTTGTCAAGTTCATTCAAAACAAGGTCTCACATCACTCACTAGAGTGTTTAGGCTTCAAAGATGGCTTAGTTAAGGGCAGGGAAAAACTGTCCCAATGATGGAGATCAGCTACTTGGATTAACAAGGGTGGTTAAAAGGGAAAGATAATTCAAGTATGTATATGCTATCCACAAGTTCATTCAAACAGCACATGATATTTTCATTTCAAATTAAGGTTCCATTTGTATAGGGCTGAGTTCAATTCAAAGCTTGTTCAACTAAGGCCTAAACAATGTTACACATTTCATCACTTGCAAGCATCAAAGAACTAATAACTAGGGCCATGAACTAAACTCTTAAAATGATGCTCTCTCAAAGAAACATATCATTACTCTCATGCAAATTATGCAAACCAATATGAAAATGCAATCTAGACTCAATCATAAAATGTGAATGCATCTAAATGAACATTGTTTGTGAAAATTTTCAAAATTTTTGGTTTTTTAGTGTCTTTTCTATGCATTTAAATGCAGACTCAAAATGCAATCAAAATAAGAACAAGAACAAACATAATTAGTAGACATTAAACCAACCCTCCCCCACACTTAAATTACACAGTCCCTTGTGTAATAAAAGCATGAGAAAGAGGAAAAATCAAACATAAAATGCAAATGACAAAGAAAAATGCTAAATGCTTATGTACAAAGTTTTTAGAGTGATACCTGATGTGTAGGTGATGAAAAGGAGGAGTGAATATGTGCATCAGTGGAGGCTAGACATCACTGGAGGTGGGTTAGTTTCGATGTCACTCCTTGCTGCGACTTGGCTCACCAGCAACATCTCACCAGCAACATTGACCGAGTAAATTTTCTTGGCCATATGTGCTTTGCTGCGACTTGTCTCACCAGCAGCCTGAAGCAATTTCTTTTACCTTGGCCATGTTTTCCTTGCTGCGGGTTGGTCACTAGCAGCACTTGACTCGCAGTCTGATGCGAATGGATTTTTCATTGTCCTTTATCTCTGCTACTAGTTAGCTCACCAGCAGCCACCAAGTCGCAGCCTCATGCAAATATTTTTCTTCATGAGTTTTTTTTTCTGCTGCTAGTTAGCTCACCAGCAGCCACCAAGTCGCAGCCTCATGCGGATGTATTTTCCTTGGCTTAGACACATGCTGTGACTTGCTTAACCAGCAGCCACCAGCTAGCAGCCCCAAGCGAATGAAAATGCTCTAGGCAATGACCCCTGCTGCGACTTGGTTCACCAGAAGCACCTCACCAGCAGCAAAGGCCGAATCAGCTTGGTTCCATGCCTTTAAGCTCATTTCTCATCTGTGGTGCTGGTTCTTTTTCACCTTGTCTTTGAGCCATATGATTTCCCAGACATTTACAACCTGAGACTACTCCACAAAACACATCAAAACATCCTAAAACATAAAAAGAAAAGATTAAAATGCTATGTACAAGGATAAGCTTGGAGTGTCTCCCAAGAGCATTTTTTTTAAGTCACTAAGTTTGACTTTTCTTACTCTTCTCTTAGTGAGGGAGAGGGAGAGCATTGATGCTTCTTGTCTTGTCCTTGAATTCAAACATGAGGCCCTTGTTCATCAGCTCTTGAACACCCTTAGATCCCTTGTCTATGATTTATTGTGTGAGGATTGCCCTGACCTCAGCAAATGGTCTTGATCCTCTATTGCCTTGAATCTTGTAGTCTACAGCTCCACCATCAAACTTCCAAGGAGTAAGAGTTAAGGCTTGAGAAGAATCCAAGGGTGAATGGTTTGGTGCATTTTGGATTCTTTCTTTTGGATCCTGAACCATTGCCTTTGTTCTTGCTCAGCTCTTTCTCACTTAGTGTAGGAGAAAAAGAGTTCAACCAAGCTTCATCCCTAACAAAAGGATCCCCATCTTCATACTTAAAGTCAGATTTGATTTGGGGTTCTTTCTTCTTCTCCATAGCTGGAAAGGGTTGAGCTTCTTCTATAATACCAATGCTTCCCACATATTTTATCTCATAATCCTTGAACTCATCAATCCTCCTCAACAATAGTACCACCAAAATCAGCTGATGGGGGCTTAACAGGGTAAGAGACTTCTTTATCTACTTTTGTGAGCACCACTCTTTGGGTATCAAAGTCAATTCTTGCTTCTGTGGTGTTGAGAAATGGAGTTCCAAGCAATAGAGGAAGCTCATTGGTTTTCTTCATCTTCATGACTACAAAATCCGTGGGGATTATGCATTTTCCAACCCTTAGTGGATAGTCTTCAAGGGTTCCATATGGTTTTTTTGAGTGGGAATCTCCAAAGGTAATTGAAGTGGGGTGATTCTTGAGAGTCTTGATCCCTAGTCTCTCTACCATGTCTAAAGACATCACACTAACACTTGATCCAGAATCACACAAAGCATTCTCAACCTTGAATTTTCCAAGAGAGCATGTGATGGAGAATTTCCCTGGACTTCCTAGCTTTAGGAGGGATTTAAGCTTCACCATTTTTGAATCAAGGCTAGAGACTCTATCTTTTGGCTTTGCTTGATCTAATACTTGCTATCCCTTTGCTTCAACAGACTCAGAATCATCCATTTTCCTGAACAAAACAAGCTGCCTCCCCACCTTCTGTCTCAATGTCCTCATTAAGATCATAGAACAGGTTCTCAGAGTCTTCTATTATGGCGTCCTCATCCTTAGTGTTGGGGTCTAACTCATTAGAGATTTGCCATAAAGAAAGTATTTAATTATCTGAACAGCAGTAGAATTCTCATCAGTTGAGTATATGGCATTGCAATACTCTTTGGGGTTTGGAACAACTTTGCCTGGCAGAGAGCTTTGAGATTCAGAAGTGGGAATGCCTTTTTTTTTTTCTGAAGAGTCTTTATTTGGGTTTCTAGTATCTCCATCTTGGAACTGAGGTCACTGGTGCGAGAATCCAGTTTTTGTTGTCCCTACATAAGCTGTTGTAGAACCCGACTGATGTCTGAACCTTGTTTTTGAGAAGTATCCTGTTGAAACTGTGGCTGTCCAAAGCCTGGAGGGTAAAACTTATGTTGCTGGAAACTGACTTGATTTAGGAAGCTATTTCCTTGGTTCTGAACTGTTGGTTGTTGAAAAGCTTGCTGCCCTTGGTACTTTCATTGGAACTGATTCTTTGGAACATAATCCTGAGTCTGAACTTGTTGAGGATGATACACTTGGTCTTCAGGGTTAGCTACATTTGGGTTTCTATAGCTCAGATTCCGATTGTAATTGTTGAACCTGTTGAACTTTTTTTGGTTCCCAATATAGTGGAGGTCTTCTTGAGTCAAACCCTCTTCATTCATATTCTCAAAACATTGAGCTTGCCCATCAAATTCACCAACAAAATGAAGAGGCTTTTGAGTAGCAACTAAGACTTTGTCTAGCTTGCTTTGCAGCTCTTTGATATCTTTTCTCATTCTTTGCTTCTCACTAGAGCTTTCTCCTATATTAGCTTTATCATATTCTTCACCATAAATATCATTGCTCATTGCCAAATTCTCAACTAACTCAATGTTAGCATTGATCTCCTTGGCTAAGAAGTTCCCATTAGAGATAATTTCAAACTGTTTTTTAAACTTTGGTAGGGCACCTCTGTAAAGAGTGCTGAACAATGATGCCTTTGAAAATCCATGATAAAAACATTGATTAGTGTAGATCCTGAATCTCTCCCAACCCTCACCACAAGTTTCATTGTGGTATTGGGTAAAAAAGATGAGATCTGATTCCTGAGCTTTAATGTTTTGAAGGTTGAAAAGAACTTGGAAAAGAAAGGTTGTTTGCATTGCTCCAAATATGTATAGAACCCTGAGGAAGATTTTTCTCCCACTGTTTCGGCTTATATCCAAAGTTGAAAGAGAAAAGTTTCAGCTTAAATCTATCTTTAAATACATCATTTATCTTTGTGATCTAAAGAAATATGATAAGTGTCTATATTTCATTTCCAAAAACCAACTTCATTTTTAGAAGAAAAAAAACGCAAAGGATATTTGGATTTTTTTTGTATTTATATTAGATAAAATTTGCGAATCTAAAATCTTAAAATCGAACCTAACAAAAGAAAAAAGTAAAATAAAAAAAATCTAATGAATTTGGGCGACAAAAAAAGGAATGCAACGAAATGAAAGTGGAGAAAACACTATCGGGACCGAAGTTCCCAATTCTTGTTTCTTATTGGGCCTTATAAAGCCCAGAGATCCCCTGAAAAACTTCCTCCTTCGATCTCTCTCCTCTTGCTTCTTCCCAAATCGACGAGTCCCTCAGTCTCAGAAATCTCTTCTGAATCCGAAGAAACGTTGTTCCAATGGATTCTCTTCAATCAAATTCCAAAGCCGAAGAAGCAGAACAATATTCCAAACCCGAAGAAGCAGAACAAAATTCCAAAGGCGAAGAAGCAACACAAAAACCCAAAGGCGAAGAAGCAGAACAAATTTCGAAAGGCGAAGAAGCAGAAGCTTCAATCTCGCTTCCCCAGGTCCCTACAGGAACCGCTCTACTCTCTGGAATGGATGATTCAATGCCACAGGAGTTATCCGCTGCAATCGAACCAGAGGATATTGATTTGGAGAAATCAGATGTAGCTAAGGATGCTGATCGACCCGGATCCGAATTGAAGATCGAATCCGACTCATTCTCTGAAGAAGGTCCTACTGCTTCTTCCTCCGACAACCCTAAATCTCCGAAATTGGATTCAGCCGCTGCCCAGAACGGTAGCGCGATGGAAGAAGACGAAGAGGAAGATGAACCACTGCCTAAGAAGCAGAAGCAGCTTGATTCTCTTACTTCAGCCGCCGTGAAGGACGAGGAGGATCCGGAGCAAGTGCAGCCACCGGAAGCAATGGCCGTGGAAGGGACGGCGATGACTCCAGTTGCGACTGCGGCTAAGAAATCGAAATCGAAGAAGAAGAATAACAATGTTTGGGTGACGAAGAGTACACGCAAGGGAAAGAAGAAGAGCAAAACCAACACGCCGAATCCAGCCGCTGTAGAAGACAAGGTGCTGATAACTCCGGTTCCTAGGTTTCCCGATAAGGGAGACGACACGCCAGACTTGGAAATTTGCCTTTCTAAAGTCTACAAAGCTGAGAAAGTTGAGATAAGCGAAGATAGGCTTACCGCAGGAAGTAGCAAAGGGTATAGAATGGTGAGAGCTACAAGAGGAGTTGTAGAAGGAGCTTGGTACTTTGAGATTAAAGTTGTGAATTTGGGTGAGACGGGCCATACTAGACTCGGGTGGTCGACTGATAAAGGAGATTTGCAGGCTCCGGTAGGGTACGATGGGAATAGTTTCGGGTTCAGGGACATTGATGGGTGTAAGATACACAAGGCTTTAAGGGAGAAGTATGCAGAGGAAGGGTATAAGGAAGGTGATGTTATCGGATTCTACATAAATCTTCCTGATGGTGAATCATTCGCTCCAAAGCCACCTCATTATGTGTTCTATAAAGGGCAGAGATATGTCTGTGCACCTGACGCTAAAGAGGAGCCTCCTAAAGCTGTACCAGGTATGTGTTTGCGTTACTCATTTATACAAGTTCGTGTTTTTGCTGTCCCTGTTCTGCGTAGTCACCTATGTTTAAGTGGACTAATAAACTGCCTATGCATGCTGCTGCTGGTGACAGTAGAGAGCTTCCTTTGATTTTGTAGATAATTGACATGTGGTTATATTCTTATAGATAGTACTAGTAGGGTTTCTTACATGGCTAAATGCCTCCACATCTATGATGTAGATGTTCACCTTTATCACCAACCTTTTGTTAACGAATGCCTCTGTTCTGATGCAGGCAGTGAAATATCGTTCTTCAAAAATGGTGTATGTCAGGGAGTTGCCTTCAAAGATCTTTTTGGCGGTCGTTACTACCCTGCTGCTTCTATGTACACTCTCCCTGACCAGTCAAACTGTGTTGTGAAGTTCAATTTTGGCCCTGATTTTGAATATTACCCCGAGGATTTTGGTGGGCGTGCAACCCCGAGGCCCATGTGGGAGGTTCCGTATCATGGATTCAATGGTAACCTTGAAAATAATGGATCTGATGATATGAAGAGTTAGGCATGAAGAGTTAGGCAGAACAAGCAGGCGGATTCTTGACAGTTTAACATATTTTTCCAAACTTAGATAGTGGTTCAGATTTAGTTGAGTTGGTACGAACAGAGGACTAGCAAACGAGCAAAGGTGCTTTGATACGCCGAAATTTAGGCCCTTTTCTTTTTTCTTTTTCTTCAGAACTGGATGTTGTTCTTTCTGGATTAGCCATATTCGTCAAAAGTTATTGATTGTTCATTTGTATGTTATCTTTTCCTTCATCTGTAACTTTTTTCAGAGAGTTTATATTTGCCTTTTTTTCAAAGGTTGATACTTGACATTTTTGCTCAGCATCTCGTTGATTGTTCTCTGTCTATCCAGTTTTTCGTCAACAGACTTTTTTGGGGACTTTTGTTTGTATCCCTTGGCAGCTATATGCCGAAAGAGGAAATTTCATGGAATTTAGTGATTAACGTAAATTAGACTTGCACCCTAGAATAGGTCAGATCTGAAGCTTGTAGTCAAATATGCATGGCGGAAAGTTTTCCTCCTGTTCATGTGCTGCGCAGATTTGCAGGCTGCTTACCGATGCTATCAAAAGAAGGACTACCTTTCTACTGTCAGGTAATAAGTTTATCTGTAGCTGTTGTTAGCAAAGGAAATGTCTTATTTGCTATAGTTTTTTTCTGTGGTTTGCTATACTCTCTGTCTCCCTCTAAGAAGTACATGCAATCATCTCTTTAAATCTGAGAACGTAGCCATGCACTTACCTTTTTAGTATTTCATCATTTTTTTGGTAATTTAGGTATGCATGTGAGTTATATCCACTTGTTAAACAGGTCTCATCAGTCAGAACGATAATATCTCTCTTTTTCCTTACACAGCAGGCTACAAAATAGTTTAACAAGTTTGAAGAGAGTAACATCTGGCATATTAAAATATATGGACCTCTAGCATGAGGTTAACGAGTAATATATTCCACGCATGGAAATTGCTTACTGCTGCATATGCTTCTAATGCAGTGGAGAGTTAAGTCCTTCTTGGGAAGAGAGGGCATGGTGAACATGGTATCGCTTGGAAGGGAAAGGTGCCATTCTCCTGAAAGAAGGCCTTTTCTGGATATGGCTCAGAGTTCTCTTTGTGTATAGCATGTGAATCAACGGGAAAACCTTTTCCTTGAATTTGAGGATGGCGAAGAAGAAAAGCCTATAAGCAATGAGAATCATCATCACAACACCTAGATCCAACCACTTGGACTGTGTTGGATTTATGCCTAGAACGGTTTCAAGAATGAGCTCCCCTTTCATTTTTGGTACCAAAGGTAATGGAGAATCATACTCAACTCCTATCATCTCATTCTTGAATGCCCCCTGCAATTTTTCAGGTGTGCTCGTTTTAGATATCTATTTGGCAATATAATCTGCATCGTAAAGTTTGGAAAACCTGGTCACCTGTAGAGCCCATGCACCGTAGTTTATGTAGGACACTGGGTATCGCCAAAACACCATAGGTAAGTCAGGGAACAGTCGGAAAAAACCCGCACTCAGGACCATAACTCCCTGTGACATGAAGAAGAGAGCGGTTTCCGATTTACATTTTTTCTTTCAAGATATATAAGAAAGGTGTGAGAGAGACAGAGAGAATTCTTACAATGTAGCCAGCTCCTATTATGACTCCCATCAAGAAGTTAGGAACCAGTGAAGCTATCATCATCATGCAACTCTCCACGGTTGCAATTGCACTGATGAGGTCGAGACAGTTGTAGAAAAAGTGAGAAGCTGAGGGTTGGAACTTCACCATGTAGTTAGTGATTGAGGTTGTGGCGAGGCACATGAGGATTATGAAAGGTAATGAGGAGAGGAAATTAGACACAGTGTACACTGCAACCCCATAGTGTCCATTGAGCCTTTCCCGAGAAAACACCTGGTCATAGGGAACAATATGTTAAAACGTAAAGATGCTTTTCAAGGTGAAAGAAAGAGACAGAAGTTTTGTGTTTAGCTCTTTTACCTTCATTTCTTCAATGAAGGATTGGAAACCTCCTATTGACATAAATGTCATGAAACCTGCCATGAATCCGCCACAAGCTGCAGTGTTCATGACATTTGTGTGGTTTTTCCCGATGTTGAAAAAGACTGACCCGACACAGATGGCTAACACTATGTAGACTGCAATCCGTATCCAGTAGTACCCCAAGTCTCTACTCATGTTGATGAAAGATCGTTGAGTAAGTATTCTGAGTTGTTTCCACCAGTTTGTTCGACTCCTATTTTTCCTTTCATTGACAAGTCCCTTCTGTTGCACGAGGGAGGTATAAATGTGGTTATGAGACTCTGATTGTATGATACATTGTGGTTTTAAAAAAAAAACTGGTAGCTCTTAACTTACGATTGATGTTATATCTTGAACTCTTGCTCTTGAAGCTGCTGCATAGTCTGAACACTTGAATTTTCTGACGAGTATTGTTTTAATTTCTGCTGTTGGTATATCATCCAGGGGATCTAATGTGTTTGACGTTTCATGTAGTTGATAAAGAGAGAAAGAGGAATCCTGCAGAGGCAAATAGCGCAGACGTCAAAAGCTTGAGTGTATTGTAATCTACATGGAAACAAAAAAGGGTAGAAGAAGACAAACGTGGATTCTCCGAGATTCAACCAAAGTTGCTGTGATATCATCGAAATCTGAGTTGACACAGCGAAGGAAGTGGTCTGATGGATTCCGTTTGCTTGGACAAGGAAAACCCGCTTCACCAAAGAACTGCAAATGTCGAAGCAGTAACAACACAAAATGAGCATGCATGATGGTTTCGTATATATTATTTGCAAATTCAGATTTTGCTTATTACCTTGGTTGCAGATTTTGCTTCTCCAAAGTAAACGGTTTCTCCTCCAGACAGCAGTAGCAGATCATCAAAGAGTGCGAAAACCTCACCACTCGGCTGATGAATCGAAGAAATCACGGTTTTGCCGTCGCTAGCGATGTTTCTGAGAATCTGAACCACGAAGAAAGCTGAGGCACTGTCCAGTCCACTTGTGGGCTCGTCTAGGAAGAGGAGACTCGGTTTGGTTAAGACCTCGAGCGCAATACTGAGACGTTTCTTCTCTCCTCCGCTTATTCCGCGCATATGCCAGTTTCCAATAGTCCTGTCTGAACAATCTTGCAGACCCATCTCAGTGATTGTAGCTTCCACAATGTCATTGATCTCTTTTCTGGTGAGCTTTGATGGGAGTCTGAGATGAGCTGAGTAAGCTATGGATTCTCTCACTGTCAAAGTTCCTAGCAACACATCTTCTTGTGTAACATACGCCTGAGAGTTTCTCAACGTACAGTATCAAATGACAAAAAAAAAAAAAAACAATCATTTTATGATTGAGGGTTTAGGACATGAATAAGAGCTTTGATTATTATGTAAAAAGTTAAGATTTGCTTACAGAAGCACCAAAGTCCAGCCTTCTCTTCTTGCCATTGACAAGAACTTTGCCACTCATTACAACATTCCCTGCTAATCTTCCTGTATTATCACCAAATAACTTGTAATCAAAGTCAATCTCTTGATGATATTTAATATTTAGCCTTTCATGTTCAGAATAATGTTCTTGATAAGAGAATAAAACTGTTTGACTAATATACTTCTTGTATTTTGCATACTTATATACCATTTTGTTTAAAAGCGCATTGTCGAACACTTATGACAAAATTGTGTGTTATTTTCTCTACACCTATTGCATGAATAAAATACGATGTCATTTGAGTTAATAAGACGATATATTTTCAAAACATTCATAACTCCCAATCCAGTTGAGAGTATTTTACAAATAAGAAAATTTCATGGTCATTTATCTAATTTAATAAAGTTTATAGTTATTTAGTGTGGTCGTAGATACTATTTCTTGTATTGCCTTGTTTTTCAAAATGAATTTTTGGGTTGTTTATTATTATTTCGACTTGTATCAAAATTTGGTTTCGAGTTTTCATAGACATAGAACAAAAAACTTTTAAATCCAATTAAAATACCCGGTTCATCTCCAGGCTTACGCAGATTGGCGTTTAACAGTTTTACTAGAGATTCCAATTCGGTTCTACTGTTTCAAACCGTACCGAAATCCGGATCGTTCAATTCTAAATTTTTGTGTCAGGTTGTTGGGTATTTGGTAGTTGGTTAACATTTAAAATCATAAGTTAATAAGAAAAGTTACTGCAGAATTTCTTTAAAAGGTATGTGTTAGAGAAACGTAGCTATCATCAATTTGTTCAACATTAAATGTACGTACGGAACATGAAAATCGCAACTATGTTTCACTTTTAATTAGCCTCATACCATCAAGAGCTACAAAGAAAAAAAAAATCGGTAGCTAATATCCATAAATTTCAAAGTTAAGAATATATATATATATATATATATGTATATATGTATCATCGTGTATATGAGACTTAGATATAAATATAGCACTGTTTAAAATATTTATAAATATATGTATATATAGATAGAACGATAGATATATAATCTCTTAATAAAACAAATGGGTTTGGTCAAAGCTACAGAAGTAAGAGGAACTTTAATTACTGTTTTAATTTCCACCAACATGGGATACACGATATAGATTGCTGCTTTCAAATAGGGAAGTTATATAGTTATATTTAATGATGTATATTGTTCTAGTATATGAGGTTTTTTTTAGTTCTTTCTTCGTCGCAAGTATATAAGATATGAAATAAACTAATAACAATTTTTTACATATTTTAAAATGTGGTTACGAATGAAAACAAATGCTTATCCTTTCAAGGATCTAATAATGTTTCCTTATAAATAATAATCGATCCAAGGATTTAAATGCTTGTGAACTTAAAAATAAATTTGTGCTTAACCAAAAGTGATATATACTGTATTCCCCAAAAAATGCTATATACATGCGAGAATTTCCTTGGATAAACCTTATTGTTGAATTTCAAAAGACAACGTTACACATCGTCATGTAGTATTGTTAATAAATAATAGTAAGACATCGAGTATAACACTTCACAAAGTATACACTTAAACAGATTTATGCAGCATAAAAGTCGGGCTATACCTCACACGTGTGGGTGTGTCATGTGTGTGTATATATATATATAGAGAGAGAGAGAGAGGGAGAGAGAGAAAGTGACCTGCTAAAGCATCAAGAAGTGTAGATTTACCAGAACCAGAAGGACCCATAATGGCTAAGATCCTATTTGGCTCACCACAACCATTCACTCCATTCAATAATCTCTTTGTCGGTCCTTCACCGAAGTTTGGAATCACCACCGTAAGATCCTCCCAGGCCACAAACATCGCCGCCTTATCACCACCGTGC